CTTGTAGTCCCGGTCCTACCCAAGGGAAGATGGCCATGAGGCTAGCGGACATGCGCCCCCTGGTGGCCACGCACTGCAGTCACCGCTCCTTAGGCAAGTGCTTGTTTGCTGAAAGCTGCTGTGAGATACAGTTTGCTCTGATTTCTTCCTAGGAAAGTCACGGACGCGCACACACACTACTTAGACCTTTGATGGGCTGTGAGCAGCTGCCTTTTCTATTTATTCCGTCTCTAGCCATCGTGTATGACCCCATTTGCTCCTGTCAGCATGTCAGCTGTCAATTTCAGCTGTCACTCAGGATTCAGAGACTGGTTCCTTGAACACTGTGTGTCAAGTGGTGCCATTTCTGCTGTATCGAAGAGCAAACCTATGCATTCGTGGCAGCAGGGGAGACAGATAGTGATGATAAACAAGACATCCTCTGCAGAGTAGTGGCAAGGTGGGTGGTAAGAGTTGGAAAGGCCGAGCAGGTGCCAGTCAAAGTAGGGGTGAGGCTAAAGACCTCAGAGCAAGACTTGAGGGAGGAGAGCAGATGGAGTGAGCCACGGAGGCAGAGACGTTCTGGGGAGGAACATTCCGGACAGAGAAAACCTGCAGAGGTCCAAGGTGAGATCCTGCTTGACAGGCTTAAGGACCAAGAAGAAACTCCCAGAGACTTTATTTAACGTGTTTGCTTTCCAGTATGTCCTTGTGTCCTGTAAGACACTGATCTGGGTGCTGGGAACACAGAACCAAACAAAACAAAAGCCTGCTCCCGTGGAATCTTCACACTGGTGAAACAGGGGTAGTAACAAATGGCCACCAAGTGGTCACTGAATGACAAAAGGGTGTCACTTGCACTCACCAGGATGCATTTTCTAGTAAACAGCTGTTTCCGCTACCTAGAGCAGAGGTCGCTGATCCCTAGCCACTGGATAACAAACTGTGTCACATGCTGGGGCTGAGGACACATTGGACTGCTGCCTTCCAGTTTCACTATAGTATGGGAAATGAGACAAGCAGGGATGGAGAGATGGCTCAGCCACTAAGATCACGTGTTGCTGGACCCAGGTTCGATTCCCAGCATCCAGATGGCGATTCACAACCATCTGTAACTCTTCTGACCTCTGTGGACACCAGGCAAGCATGTGTCCACATGCATGGAGGCAAATCACTCACACATAAAATAAAATGGATAAATCTAATTAAAAAGAAACGAGAGAGCCACATACTGTCTCTGCAGAATATAGTCTTTGTTTTTCCTTCTGTATTCCACCACCCAGATACTAAACCCCAGCACCCTTACCAAGAGTGAAGCAGAAGCTGGTACAATAGAAGACAAGGATGGGCCAGTGCCATAGCATGAAAAGCCTTAGGTAAATTAAACTTACTAGTTTAATAAAGCAAGTCTGGCAGCCCGTATCAGAGCCCATCCAGCAACTCAGCCAGACAGGCATTCTGGTCACAAGACCCAAGTGACTTAACAACAGTTTAGTGGTTATGATTGGCCAGGGGTCAGCTGTCTGTTACAGTCGGAAGCTCCTACCTGGAATTTTTGTTGATTCTGTAACTAAGTTATGTTGCAGCTCCTTAAGAAAGGGCTCCAGGCTGGAGGGTTCCTCTGAGAAAAACTGGGTACGCTTCACACGTGACGGATATCTGGGATGACTCTATGCCAGCTCTGAGGAGAAAAGGAAGCTACAGAGGAGAGATCCTCAGAACCAAAGCTGCCACTGTCCCAGCAGCAGTGAAGGGTCTAGAGAGGGCCTCCTGTGCCCCTCCCTTTGGCACCATGGGCTCTAAGGCACTGGAACTTCCGTGACAGTCTCAAGCTAGGAGGCGGGGAGAAGCAAAGCCCCATGCCATCTCTGTAGATGAGACTGCACTTCTGAAGATTAACCACGCTGCAGTGGAGGCCATGATGGCCGGACCATACCCTGACCAGGACTCAGCTTTATTTCAACATTAACACTAGGTCAAAACGTCTGAGGTGGACTTGGGGGTCATGGGTTCACCAAGCTTCTTTATTTGTTCATCTTGTCTGTGTAGTCACATTGAATAAATCTCCCTTCTCCATTTCCCACTGCTACATGTATCTATAATTGATACATTGAGCCTGGCTTCTCAGGGCTGCTATCGCCAGTAACAAGAAGTCCCGGGGTACTGGAGACATGGCTCAGTGATTAAGAGTACATATTGCTTTTCCACAGGACCCCACTTTGACTCTCAGCACTCATAGCAAGTGGTTCACAACCCCCTAAAACTCTAGCTCCAGAGGGATCCGGCACCCCTAACCCCAAGGGCACCTGCACACATGTATACATGCTACCACCCCCTACTGAAATGACATAAAATCTTTAAAAAGAGAAGCCATGTAGTGGAAGTCTAAGACTCCAGAATATTTAAAGGGTGGGACCAGTGTATGATGGGGATGAACCGGTAGTGAACAGGCAGCGCTGTGCGGTACTGAGGGTAGCAGGTTAGCGTAGTGGTACAGAAGGTAGGAATCCGCTAATGGATTCAGCAACAGAGCACGGTTGCCATTGGTGGCAGTCAGGGAGCTGTGAGTGGGCTGGGAAATCCACAGTCCACAAGGAAGAAGAGACATGGTTCTTGGATGGGAAAACTACGGAGCACAAGATGCCACTTGATGAGTCTTTCTTTGTGGGCAAAATCAACAAGCAAATCAAGCTCGTGGACAAGAAAAGGCATGTTTTGTAGATTCGGTCTGGGATTGTTTCCAAAGAATTGTGCCTCTAGTGGTCTTGATGAAGGACTCATTTTCCAGATCAATTTGGTTTGGAAACTGACCACACACACACACACACACACACACACACACACACACACACACACACACACACAAAACAAAAAACCACCCCTCACTCAATAGGTTATAGAAATACCTGGGGGCTTCACAGGAATCTGCAGAGTGGGACATTTTCTAGGATTGAGGCTGCATTCGATTTTTAATGTCAGTTTAGCTGTTACATTCATCAGTATTTATTAAACATTACAACATAATATTGCTAAATTGATGGTAATGGTAAGGATAGAAAAATTCAGAAGTTTTTATGGATGTCGAACAACAATTGGAAGAAAAAAAGTTAAACTTTGGCTTTCTCCTTTGGACATGCTATCCCTACTGAGGATAAGCCAGAGGCCACAGTCATGGCCACTGCATCACCAAGAGGTTCATTTTTATAAGTATCACCAAGTTACTCTGGGAAAGGTATTGTCACTGATATCAGAATACCTTTGCCTTACCTGTCAAGCTTGATGCAAGGAAGAGCTCTTCAGCTAACACACAGAAGTAAATGCTGCCCCCAAACAAGACTGTTACTGCTTATCCTGGACTTGGTGCCATCAGACTGTTCTGAATAGAAGATGGGGAGCCTGCATGTCCTCAGATGGCCACCTGATTCAGCAGAAGAACTGAGGTTAAGGGTCTTGGGAGCACCTGTATCTTGGGAGGGCAAAAGCCACACAGAGGGAGGATGATTAAATGAGGGGGAATTTTGGAAAACATACATCTATGATGTGATAGTTAAACCTTTTAAATGACAAAATTCTTAAGTGATGTCCCTATTTGAACTTTATATATGAAGTCAAGGTCATAATAAAGTCGCCACTGGGGAAAAAACCAAAAACAAAAACCCCATAAAACCCAACCTACTATGGTTAAGGTGTACTTGGGTGAAATTGATTAGTGGATTTGGAATATTTGATCATGATTTAGAACATGTACAACTGTAACTCAGCTGTCCTACCTGCCAAGTGATAAAGGTAGTCCCAACAGCTTTAAGAACAAAAACAACAACAAAACAAAAAACCTGAAAAGCAAAAGTTTTCATGCTTGTAAAGTTTTGCTTAAATAAATTATCTGCATGATAGAATACTACACCGCCTTGAAGGGAATGAAGACTGTTGACATGAGATTGCCAAAAATACATTCATTTAAAATCAAATGGAGACTATACTATCACCATGCACAAGACACATGAATTTGTCTGTAAATACACACATTATGTATGCCTGAAAAGCTAGGCCAGCACTTTTGTAATAGCTACTTGTAGGGAAGAGGAATGAAATTGAGAGCAAGAAAAGATAGATGTTTTGCTTTGTTTCACGATCATATATTATATACTCAGGAAGTGTTATTGTTGGAACCCTCCTCTTTGGGGGATGGGCTATAGATCAGTGGCAGAGAACTTACCTGGCATATGCAATGACCTGGGTTCAAGTTGTGGCACCACAAAAACCAAACCAAGCTAAACAAAATCACGATCGTTATACCAATTCTGGTTCGGGAAAGTTGGAAACACATTTTTGTCAAGTTGGCTAATTTTTAGACTATCTTAACGTGAAGTTTTCCCTCTCTTTCAGTAGAAGACTAAGTTTGGTTAGCACATTTCCCTGTGAATTACTGATCAAGTAAACCAGCTCTATGGCCCCAGATTCTTCATTTGAAAATGATAAACTAAGGAGAGATGACACCCAAACATCCTGCTTTTGAAAGATACCATGATAATGGCTCTCCATTGTAAATTCAAAAAGTATGATAATTCGGCAGGTCAGATAGTGTGCTTTGTCTATGGGAAATGAGGAGGTAAAATGTGGGGACCTGAGCTTGGATACCCAAAACTCAAGCAAAACTGGATGCAGTAGCTCATGTCTGTAAGCTTGGTGCTCCCACAGTGAGATCTGAGACAGAGGCAGAAGACTCTGGAAGCACGTGGTCCAGTTGGCCTGGTGGACAGACACAGCAGTTCACAGACAAGAGACTGTCTCTGACACCCAAGACTGCCCGGTGACCTCCACATGTGTGTCATGGCACACACATGCCCACACACACATGAACACAGACGCACAAAGAATCTTTTTTAAGTTACTAAAAAAAAAAGGACCCCTGTAAAATTAATACTTTCACAAAACACTGCACCCCTTAACTACATTTTAAATTTTCCTTTCCATTTTTCTTCTCTCTTTGAAGCACCACAGGAACATCAAGAGAAACAGACTCGACTGAAGAAATTTATTTACTTTTTCCCCTAGGTACATAGATGACATAATTACAGACAAGTTTTGATACACAGGAAAACTCTCCTGTCCACCTTTTTCTAAATGAATCATCACAATAATTTTTTTTACAATTTTTAAAACAATACACAGCTTTCTTGGGCTGAAGCAATTGCAAGAACGTATTGGTATTGGTATATTACAGCTACTTACAATGTTTAAGAACAGCAATGGAGAAAAATAAGTTATTTAAATATTGATTTCATATACAGAAAGTGCAATGTTGTTAGTTGTCATATAACTTGCTTGACAGTTTGTCTTTCTTTTCTATCAATTTAAAAATCAAGATAACTTGGACACAAGACAGTTAGATTTTTCTGGAACCTCACTCAATCCACACACAGCAAGTGACTTGGGAATCTACTTCGGTTCCACTGCATTTGTGAAACACACTATGCTGCGCCGGGGATACACTTCTCACAGAGGAATCATTTCCAATTTCATCCACACCTGGGGTCAGCACAGAGAAAAGGGCCCCCAAATATTCAAGGCCATGAAAAGCTATTTGCTCTCGTCATCTGGGAATGTAAATAGTAGTTTGGGCAGCTGCTTTCTCTGCAGACAGCTGTGACGTACAAATCACACACACTCTGGGTAGCTACCTGAGCCGAAACGCCTTTCCAGGTTCTTTTGTGCTTTCCAAAGACCACAGTTTTCACCGTCACTCAAAATTCTGTACCTAATGCAACTGATCAAAACTGGATATTGCTAAAGCCTGCCACCTGTCCGCTAACAGCCACAGGCAGCCCCAAGCCACCTCCGTGTCACACACCAACATTCAGGCTTTATTCAGACCAAATGAATTGTTAAAAGCAAAATAAAACAAACACTAAAGCTATAGGAAGGAAGGAAGGAAGGAAGGAAGGAAGGAAGGAAGGAAGGAAGGAAGGAAGGGAGAAAAAGAAAGAAAACCACCTCAGCCCCTTCAGACATTCACACTAAATTCATGGTCCCTGAATTTAATTTTCCATGCAAAGGCAATGATTTCCAGAGTGATAAAAAACATTGTTTGGCATTCTCAAGACCTCTGGTGCTAGTTTGACATAAAAGAAAACCCTACACTGAGAATGAACTAAAACTTGGAAATTCACACGAGATTTCTCCTCCTCCCTTGGTATCTCTAAGGTGACTTTTTGTAGTCTTTGCTCACCTAAAATCCTGAGCAGAATCGTTTCCAATGTCAGGCTGGGGTTACTTCAAAAGCAAGGGGAGAAGCCTAGTTTCGAATACCAGCCCCACAACAGCATGTGAAACTGTCAGGATGCCGTAGCTGGCTGAGAACCCTGCATCCCCAACCACGAGGTGGGCTATGCCATAACCCAGGGGGCCAACCATGAGCTCGTTTTCAAGAGTCCAAAAGGAATCTGGGGGCTCTACCTTTATACTCTAAATTGCCTCATCTTCTTCACACGGCATCTTATAGAAGGTGGAAATGAAGAAACATACATTGTTATTTTAAATGCATACCAAAATGTGAGATAATAAAAAAGACAACACCTGAGAATGTTCTTTTCCTCAGAGGCAAGGATTCAGCCGTATAAAGCATACAGTCAGGACAGCTTCGTTATTAGTAAAATCACTTGCCTTTCTCCTCTGAAGGAAGTCGTGTTTTAATAACCCAATGAAATTTCAGAGGACTTTTGATCCAGGCCCTGTGTTCAAAGCGCTTCTATGATAACTTGAGACTTCACACAGTGCTTGTGAGAACGTGAAGAAAAAAACACTTGGTAAGCAATGGAGCCTGTGTACCTGTCTAAATTGCCAATTGCTAGAAAAATCAGACACTAGACAAGGAGAGGACAGGGTATGCTGAAATCACAGCTGGAAAAAAAACAATCGAAAATATGCAATATTTAACACACAGCTAATGTGGCTTGTCTGGCTCCGTAATGAACTTTGTTTGAATTAAAATAAGTATCTAAGTAACAAATGAAAGACAAAAAACAATTATAGAACTGGCCAAAAAGGAAAAAAAAAGTTAAACAAACAAACTGCATGTAAACTACTTCCCTTTTTAGAAAAAAAAAGAATCTTTCTGAAATTTGCAACCTTACAATGTCTCTCTGCAAAGGTGACCCATTAGCTGATGACCGGATTTTGGAATGGATGTGTGATCAGGATTAGACATAAATGCTGCAGTGTCATGGCCACCCCGAAGGCCACTCTAAAGTGAGCACAACGGAGGGCGGTCCCTATACCTGCTCACGTGAACACAGGTGCCCCTCCGCGGGTGCAGGTCGACTTGTACTGAAATTATGGTTAGTTTCAAAGCTAAAAGTCAACATGAAATGTGTGCCTGGTAATCACCCCTACAAAATAAACCATGTTAGAATGAGACTTTAAGAAGAGGCTATTTTCGCTGGAAATACTCCCAAATACGTTAGATGGCAGTTTAAGCTGAAGACTTGGAACTAGGGTTATGGGTTGCGGACACTAGATAGATAACTGATTAAAAGTTTATATTAAGGCAAATAAAAGCTAATTGCTAGGAAGCAATTAAAATGTCTCTTGTGTATCTACAGGAGAGTAGGACTGTTCTGTTCTTGGTGTTCTCACTTCTGAACAAATGAGTATGGTCAATAGTGTACAGTAACTCCAGAGTCTGTTGCTTTGGCCTAGCTCAGCCCGTGGGGCTCCGGCATCCAGCGGGGTGACCAACAGATGGGCAAGGGCACGATCAGACACGAGCGGGCTGCCTTGGCCTCTCCTTCTAGCCCTCTGCCAGCACAAAGACAGACTGGATGCACAGTGTTCTTCATTAAGTTGGCATCTTGGCTCTTCTGTGTCTGAAAACAAAACTAAGTGCTTGTCTTGCCTTTGGGGATCAAAGAGAACCACGCCGATTTCCTTGGGGTAGGGGGTATTTTTTCCTCGGTTCGAGTCCTAATCCTGCCATTTGTGAGCCCCGAGGTGGGGGCTTTCCTTCTGGATCAGGTCAACCCCAGCAGATATGGAGGGATTGTATCAGCTTCGTAAGCACAGTGGAAGGCTGGCCCTTGTCCGGGGAAGGCCACGGCAGGTCTGGCTACATGGCCTCGGGGCTTGGTGGCAGTTTGAAAAGTCTGGCTGCGGATATGAGCTTCCTTATGTGTCGCTCCTCTGTGATGCCGGCCTCCTGAAGGCAGGTGTGGGACAGGGAAGGCACTTGGCTCAGCATGCTGAACCCTGCGTCAGAAAGGGTGCTGGTGTACATGGGCAGGCCAATGGAAATGAGCCAATCCGACATGGATGCAACACATCCAGGAGAGAGGGGCTTTCTGCAGATTTCCGTGAGCCCACCACTTGGGATCTGGGTGAATAAGGAAAGTCATGTCATAAAGATTACACAGGTACCAAGAGAGGGTTACTTTTTGTATGGCTAAAAGGGACAGCACTGAGCTATGTTACTGCTAAGAGATGTCAAACATTAAGAACACTGCTCAAAAAAAATGAAAATAGGTTTTCAAGGAATTATTCTAGAAAGTTCCAGAAGGAATCGGGGATTAGATCAAACCCCGTATGTGTGTAAGGCTCTAAGCTGAAGGCATTTATATCTATCCTGTTATCTTTGTCTCCATGAAACCCTTTAGCTAGGGTGAACTGCAGAGACAAACCTGTATGACCCTGTGGAAAAGGATGTTCAATGGGTAGGGTTTTTATAGAGCACATTTTCTACTGTATTTTGATCCTAAATTAACAACCAGAAAAATAATGTACGCAGTTAATCAACAATTTAAAATATAATAATATCAAAGTTGACTAGGGCAGAGGAATGGATGTTAAAGCCTGATTGTTAGGGGCATAAAAGACTGTCTTTCAGGAGACATGCAGGGTGTCCACACAATTCTGTATCATTGTACATGTACTTATATTCACGTAGGTGCACATCATCCGTGTGGAGGCCAGAGGCCAACTTTCCATGTCCTTCCTTAGGAGCTGTCCATCTTTTATTTTGAAACAGGGCCTCTGGCTTTCATTTGGAACCTGATGACTCAGCTAGGCTGGGTGCCCAGTGAGCTCCAGGGACCCACCTGTCTCTGTCTCCCAGCTACACACAGGGTTACAAGTCTGGACCATGACACCCAGATCCTTTTCCCATGGGTTCTGGAGATAAGACCTGAGTCCTCATGGTCATGTTCTTTGGTAACTGGGACATTTCTCCAGCCCTGATTTTGTAAATCTCGATGAAGCGGCCTCTCTCGTAAAAGCATATAAATCCTCAGATAGTGGGAAGTCCACAGATAACGTTTTTGGGCTTTTTTATGTGTGTGTGGGGGGGGGGGGTTGCTTCTAAACAAGCTGGTACTTTTTACTACACCATTTAAAATAAAAATCTAGGGAAAAACACCTAAACATTTATTGATCTGTAATTGGCTAAGGCATAGAAAATTCATAAAAACAAAACAAAAACCTTGAAATCTGAATAATAAGAAAAATATTTTGCAAAAACAGATTCATGATCTCATAAGTAAAAAAAAATGAGGCATAAAATTGTACATTTACTATTTCATGCATGCACAGAAGTACCTAGTTTAAAACTGAGAAGCAGAAGTTTTATTCCTTGGGACATACATCGTGGTGTTTGGAGAAATTCAGACATCACACAATATCTAAGTCAAACTTAACAGTATTCACTCTTTCCCTATTGCACTCACCTTTCTCTCACATAATGAGAATAAGGATGCCTCAGTGTCTTGTGAGCCTATACCACACTGAAGCCAACTGCAGTTTTCGTGGGGTGCACACAGATTTCCTGAATTTACTCCACTTATTTAACTAAAACTGTCTTCGTATGAGCATCGTACCATGATGCCTGCAATCCCAGCATTCAAGAGGCTGAGGCAGGAGGATCACACATTGAAGGCTAACCTTAACTATACAGTGAGGCTATGCCTAGATAGATAGATAGATAGATAGATAGATAGATAGATAGATAGATAGATAGATAGATAGATAGATAGACAGACAGACAGACAGACAGACAGACAGACAGACAGAATAACAGGCTGGTAGTGTAGCTGGTAGAGTCCTTTTCTAGCATGTATAAAACCCCGAAAAACAAAATCAAAATCTACACTGACCATATTATTTTCTCCCCAGATGCCTTTTCCTAGGTCTCTAGCAAGCCCCAGTATCACTAATACTTTTCAGCTATTGTCTTGTAAGTAAATGTACTACAGAAAACAGTGTGTTCTTCTCCCCAAAATGTGGGCTGCTCACCGCCATCCGATGCTGCTTCCGAAGCAGCTTCACCCGGATCTGGTCCATATTGGTGGCAACATCCCTCTCGGGCTGATCTAAGTCCTCGGCGTATCTCTGCACTAGAGCTTCAGGGATCCCACAACGGCCATGCTGCCAGGGGAGAGACAAGTATGGCGTGAATGGTGATAGGGACATTTCCCCCACCTAGGAGCCAACAAACGTTAAGGCTTAGCGCCATTGATAAAAAGCACCAAGAGTTAGTTCAGAAGGAGCATATCCTATTTATTATTGGGATGGATACTTGAAAAGGAGCATCCTCCAGACACCAACACGCTCTAAATATTTCAAAACATAATTAAGGCAACACAATCCTGTATTTTTCAGGCCAATGCCTTAAACTCATTTTTACAGAATCCAACTCCTTAGTGCAGTTGAACATAGCCCCCTAATCTGTAGAAAGCCACACCATTACTCTACAGATACAACATGCCCTTCGTCGGGGAATGACAGCACTGTATCACTAGGCCACACTGACTGTACAGCTCTCCCTACTTTCCCTTCAAAGGTACATAGTCATGAAGTATCAAAGAGGGGAGAAGGAAAAACAAACAGGACGGGAGCGGGCGTTCTTCGGAGGTACTCATGATCATAAGACTTTAGTAACAAGGACTCTTGGGAAGACGTTAAACAGAGGATGCCTTTCCCGAAGAGCAGCACAGCCCCGTCTATTATCACCCATCTGTCTTCAAAGTCACTTTGGTGTCGCTACCCTTTTCTTTTCTCTTTTCACATGAGAACTGTATTTTGTTAGAGACGTTGAATGGCTTTGGCGCATTGGGGGTTTCCATATCATGCCTCCAACCCTGTTATCTACAGGTAATCATATAATTGTCGTAGTACACTCCAACAGGACACTGAGCAGTAGGTACTCCACAGTTTTCTGGTATGTTCCCATTAGCTGCGTTTGCTTACAGCAGTCAGGAGTAGATAATACCAGTTATTTGAAACTCCAGTTAAAGTAAATATAAAGGAACACATGGGACCGCTATGGGCTGTGCACCCTAGCTAGGTTCAGGTCTCTCTCGCCCACTACACCATCCCATTAGGGATCAGTTCTGGCTCTAACTGCGATCCCTGAAAAGTGCAGCTGCCAAAACTAAAACCAAGCAAGGGGGGGGGAACCCACAAAGTTGTGTTTGTACTGAATCCAGGGGTAGGGGGTATACCTCCGGAGCACAGAGGCTGTAAGTAGAATAAGCCACACTGTCTACACTGCACCTGTGGCCACGGCCTTCCCCTTACCCAGCTTTCATCTGAGAAAACCAAGTCAGAGGCCCTGAGGGGCAGGCCTTGCATACCTTATCAGAGTAGGGCTCCTCAGTGAGGTCAATGCCCTCGGCCTGCAGCTTGTTCTCGGTGAGCATCTCCAGGTCCACGCCCCGGACGCAGGAAACCTTCCTGCTCAGCACTGGGCCCAGCTTCACACCGTGTTCCTGCAGGCTGGTACTCTCGGGCAGCTCCGCCAGCCAGGGGGGAGGTCTCGCACAGGCTGGGCTGCCTGGTTCAGTCCCCGAGGGAGGCCTGGGCTCCCTGGGAGAGGGACAGTCACAGGGGCTGGCAGGGCTGGCAGGACTGGCCTTCTTCAGCGGCAGGGTGGGCGCCTCCAGGCTGGACACCAGGTGCAGGCCATTGGCCAGGCGCTCTCGACTCTTCTTGGCAGGTACAGGAGGGGGCTGCGACGGATGTCTAGGCTGCGTCCTGGTCTCTGGGGCGATCTGCTCCACATCTACCCCTTCTTTGGTGCCCAGGGGGGGGTGGTCATGCCCTTTTCTGTGACCCTCAAGAGACGTCCTTGTTAAGCCGGGTTTAACTGGAGGCTGAGCCTCGAAATTTCTGGGTACACACTGAGGAGGAGGAGATAGGTCAAGGTTAGAGGCCACTGCAGAGCCATCCAGTTTCTTAGCCATCATTTTCGGGGGGTCGGAAAACCTCTTGCTTTGGGTCAGAAGCATCATGTCTTCCGCAGTAGGATCTCGGCCTCGGGGCAGAGCCTCGGAGGTGCAGGCAGCCGTCTTCTGTGGCACTTCTGGTACATTCTGAGGACAGGCTTCCTGCACCTCGGTAGGCACATCCTTTCCAGCATCTGCCTCTCCCTGAAGGTCATCCAGTGAATGGGACCGGGGCCAACTTTCCACTGGCTGAGGACCCTCCAGAGTTTCACAGCTGCGACAGATGGAGACCGGGAGGCTCCTTCGGTTTTTCTTCAAACCAGTCATACAGGGCACATCACAGCGCTCGGCCGTGTCCGGGGCCAGACCCCGTCCCAGCCTGCCTTCCTCTGCCTGCTTTCGCACCTCCACTGATTTTGTTAAAGGCAATGTTGGGTAATTGCCTGGCTGACCCCTGCTGAAAGACTTTAAGTTGGACTCCGTGGATGACTTGGTAGACAGAACGCTGGGTTTCTGAGTTTTGCCTGTGAGAGAAAGAGAACTTTTTACAACCGAGTTTTCATGTCAATGAAACTGATGTATAAATACGGGCCATGGGGACATAATTCCTGCATCAACAAAACCTTCACTTAGGATGCTGAAAAAAATGTAGGGTGATTAGGGACCCCGTTTTTATTTTTTATAAAGAATTCTAGTCCCATGGAAGTATTTATATGGGTGGAAACTAGTTGGTGTGTGGAAAAGAAATCCTGTGTTAAGCAGAGGAAGCCTAGGGTAAATGCCTATTCTACAGAAGCCGATTGGCCATGCACACCTTACTCAGAAACCAAACCGTAAGATGTCTGGTGGCTTGATTTTCTAAAGCCATGGTTGAGCTGACTTCTTAGGATAGGTTCTATGAATGGTACCCAGGAAGAGGTGATCCAAACAAAACAAACACTCGGACCATTCCTTCCTTGAAGCTGCTCTACTTGAATACATTTACCCAGAAACAACGAGGCGACTTTGGCACAGGCCAGTCAGCAAACTGGAGGGAGGGTTTTGCCAGAGACCATCTTCAAAACACTTAGTCAGATGCTGCTCGTGAGACAACTGTCCTGACTAAAATAAATCGCCATTTGCTAGTTGAACATTGGCCCCACACAACCCACTAATTTGACAGCTCTTGGTTTGTATTTACTGTGGCAGCTACTATGTGACAAGCTTTACTCGGCACGTGTTGTGACTATGTAGCCATGTGTGTAGACACATGCACACTATGTAGGCATGTGTGTAGATACAGGTAAGCTCATGCAAACTGACTATGTAGGCATGTGTGTAGGCACAGGGAAGCTCAAGTTCATGCATACCCACACATATCAATGGTGTTTTGTCTCCTCTTTTGATAATGACACCTGTGCTGTGTCCCCAGTAGCTGGTCTGATAAACCTGAGAATATTTCAGGTAACACAACATCTGAGCCAAATGACTATGTTATTCTAGAGAAGGATGAAAACACCACCAATCTTTGTCTGGCTTAGAAGGTACAAAGAAATGGCTGTGTCTAATTACTGAAAAACAGTAAGTTATTAATATAACCAAGAGAGTTTTTTTCTCCCCCTAACCTATTATTAAACATCCTGAATTCTGTATTTTAATTTAGAATTCTGACCGTCACCTTTAAGCAATATCACCCTTTCAATGTAATACGCAAAGAGCAGCAGGGAGAAAACAGGCTGTGGACCAATCTGATAGGGAGGGAGAAACGGGTTGGATGGCGCCCACTCAATAAGGGAAATAGCTGCTCTAGGGCAAACGGAAGGCATTCTTTGATAAAATAGCTCTCTGCCAGGCAGTCTAGACAAAGGAAATGGAACAGAAAGAAAGGCCCGGAGCTCTCACATTACAAGTGAGTTAGCCTTCATCATCAGGGAGAGAAAGAGTTCCCATCCATGATTTCCCAGCTCTCTAATCTTACTCAACCCTCAAACTGATAATATGAAGTGTTTCACGCCAAGCATAACTACAGCCCCTAAGGCTGGCGGGTGAGAACAGCTCTCTCCTCAATTGGACTTTTTATTAATGAGGCCATCCCAAATCAGCATATGTAATACTTTATATCCTGTAAAGCAGAGGCCTACCCAATGACTTGTGTCCTCTTTGGAGAGGTTCGTATTGCAAACCCTGTCCCATCTCACTTCTCTACTATTAAACAGCACCACACTAGCCCCTTCTTAACAGGCTGCTATTCTGTGGATACCTGGAGATAGATATTGGCTTACTGTGACTACTGAGTGTACTGGCTACCATCCCGTTTCTCATTAACAGGAGAATTGCCCCAGCTAGATGGAAAAGGGAAATGCTTCAGAGAGCAACAGAACATGAAATCTTAAAAGTTAGATGAAATAGAAAGTTCTCAAAATTCCTTGAGCACAAGTGTTGCAAATATGTTTTCCTCTCATTACCTCCCAATATAAACCATGTATGTATCAATGCCAGGTTTACTTTCTGCTTCATACAGAAAGAGCCCTGGGTTCCCCTGAAATCAAAGCATGACTCACCAGTTTATCTAATCCAGTTCTTCAACAGGTCTAACTATATTCTGGGCATTAACACCTTTGGCAGTGCTATCTTTCTTTTTCCTGATTTACCAATCCAGCACCACTGGGGTTAATTTACCAGACCACTTCAGCTATAGAAAAGTTACTAACAGAAAAGAAAAAAAGCCTTCCAAACCTACCCAAGGGTTTGCTCTTTGCTAAAACTGACGAAGTGTTGGGCTCCTGGATGGGTTCGCAGTGTATTTTGACCAAGGCTATCTGAATGTTAAACATCCGAGGACCCACTTATCTTCCCAAATTGACAGAACACTCTGGGTGACAGAGCTTATGGGTAAATGTCTAGGTTCCCATGATGCTTATCAGAATTGACATCAGTGTGAGGTGGGTGAGATCCTCAGGGTGCCCATTGGGAAGCAGGGTTACTCTAAGAGTACAGTTGGAAAGTGGGAGTAAGCTCCTGACGGGATTTAGGATCCAGGCATTTATTTGCCTTATCTTAGAACTGGTTTAGGTGCCCCCAAATAACTCTCTCATACTATTTGTTTATAAGCATGATTTATACTAAGAAACACATTTTATGTCTACCACCCAACAGGCACATGTGAAGCAAAGATTACAGTAAAGCTACTAATGATTCTAAGTTTTAGCCTGTGGAATGTGTTTTCTACTGTCCTGGAAAACTGTCACTAAATTGATTTCACGACCCACTAACAAGGTGCAACCTGCAGCTTAGGATGGCTTGCTTCAGTAAATGTTAAGAAGCAGTTTAACCTGTTACTATCAGGTGAGAATCCCAATAGCTGCTACATGCTATGGAACCTAGATATTTGGTTACTATAGTCTTCAAATCTCCAACAGAGACTTGGGTCACAATGGGCAGCATGAACCTATACTACTGTTTCTAATCTTATAATAATGGGAATTTGGCGGACACAACAGGAAGCCATGGTCACCCGCTGAGCTATTTACCCTTTCTGCCTTGTCCTGCTTAACACCTTGGTTTTGTATGGAGGAGGCCTTAGGAGTTTTTTATTGACTGCCTCCCAGCTGTTAGGACAGAGAAGCCACAAAACATGTGGCTTTCTAGTCATACTCTCTAGGGGCGACTGCCTCCAGAATCAGGCTTTGTGGATACAATATGTAAGACATGGTTGTCGGTGCCCTTGATAGGTGGACTACCTGGTAAATTGTTTTCCTTGTGGGCCTCATCATCCCTAGCACTGAGATGTTGGTGGTTACTATAAGAAGAAAAGGGCATAGGAGACACACAACTTAGGTTTTATGGATGCATGTATTTGAGAGAGAATTTATAAACCTCACGTAGTAGCCAGGAGAAATAAGCACAGAGGTTAACTGAGGAGTAATGGCAGATGAGGCCAGAAATGGAAAGACGCCCAGTGGCTTCCCTGTCATGCAAGAATTGAGCCTCTGGACAGAATACTGTTACACATTTGAAATTGGCGATTGTTGCAGCATGTTCCGGTGGGTGGAGCAAACATTACCATTTTCCAAGTTCTCGCTGCTTTCATAGCATCCAGAGTCCCGCGGGGAACATCCGCTCAGGCCTTGGTTGTCCACCAGCAGCTTCTCCTGGGACCCAGACTGGTCACTGTTACCTGGAGATGAATGCATGGCATGGTGTCACCAGGAGCCCCAAAGTCAGCCAGACTTTTATCCTTTGCTACCGACGCATGTGTTTACGCCTAACTTAAAACGAGCAAATAAAATCAGAATGCTTCTCTTTCAGGTAATGCATCCACCGTGTGAAAACGAAGTTGGCGTGAGAGCCCGGGGTTGAAGTATGTGGATGTCTCCCAAGCTGACTGAAGGCATGGGGGAGAGGGGAAATGCAGAGCATGGTATTGGCCTTACTGCTGAGTGATGTCCCTATGAGTGAGAAGCTGTGGGAGCGAATAAAGCATTTACTAGGGGGATAGGGTCAAGTGCTTTTCAGGCACCTGGAAGACTTGAACTTCAAGTCATTGATGCTATATATTCCTCAAATTTGGGAGCTTATATAAAAGTGTCAGAGGAAATATTGCTTTATTAGCACTGGGGAATACTGCTAGCCTGTGGTAACAATAGGCTGCCTATTGCATTGTCTTAGCCAGAGGAAGGCTGGTGAGACAGGAACAGACTCCTACATGAGGAGGAACAAGTCTTTTGTCTTCTGGAGTGTTGAAGGTTTTTGTTCTCTTGACCCTTCTCACTCAGCCTTGGGCAGGCATTTCTATTCCCTGCATCCAAAGTGAGAATGGGCAAGTGTTTCTATTCCCTGCATCCAAAGTGAGAAAAATGTTGAGGAGACTGGCGAATGGAAGCGCTCCACCTTGAGCAACCCATCCCCTCCCCACCAAAAAAGCATCATTACCATCAATGGAACCTCAGTAGGGGTAGGAACATAAGGAGACACGTTAGCTATGCTGTTTTAGGGAGTCTCCCTAGAGTAAGTCACATGGAAAAACGTGTGAACACTAGATTACCAAGCAGTGACACTCTATGTTCTCTATAGAGGGAGCCTGGGGAGCCCAGGCCACTAAGGGTTCACACACAAAACTTATGTGGAGAAAGTACTTGGTCAAACAAAATGGAAACCAAAAGAACATTTTCTACACAAATGGCTAGTCTCAAAGACAAATGGCTTTAATTTATTTTCTCCTCCTTTGCCTCTTACCTGCCCACACCAACCACACACACAAAGAGGAACAGAAAGAGATCAATAAACCAGAAATATGATGCGTTTTCTCAGGTCATTAAAATAAATGCGTGGGGAGGCTGAGGGCCACCACACTAGACATGAGCTGGTGGGCTCTCATCATTCCCTTTCTACTTCCTGCTTGTATTTCTCAAAGGGAAAACCTTCTATAACAAGTATGATGCCAGGGAGGATGACAGAACGTGTTATTTAATTATAGCCCGAAGAATGCTAATTGTCAAACGATTAGTGAAAAATCAACAAACTAGAAACACACAAGCAAATACTGCACCACCACCCTACCCCCCGCCCAAACAACCTCAAACTGGAACATTCTATAGTGATGTTCTCATCCTGTGGAAGAGCCTGTGGGTTTGGACGGGCCTTTGTTCTTGTGTAGCATGCTATTTAGAAAAATGATACGTCTAAATGTGGGCTTTGAGCTGTCCTTGACTTCCCAGGGACCACTCATCTGTCCTGGATGCCAACAGTTCAGTGTACCAGAGCAGTGGAAAAGGACTAGAGCACAGGAAAGAGAAAATACGACCCCAGCCTTACCAGGCACGACCAAATCCTGTTCCTATGGGAAAGAAAAGAATCTCTCCCGTGCCAGAGAGAACCACAGTGCAATTCACAGTCACAAGGGACACATGTGACAAGGGACAAGAGCACCATCGTCATGAGAAGGGAGGGGGGTGACTCTCCTGTGTCTAGACTTTTCTCCCACACTTACTGGCATCAATGCCAACAGAGGAAAGCCCCAAGACCATGAGGAAGAAGCCAGATGTCAGTCAAACAATATCAAAAGGGCCGAATGCCACTTGGTCACAACCCGAAGGGACTCGTTACGCTGGGTCTACAGCTCTTCCCTGCTCCAGTCACTCACACGCGGGGGCAGGACACGGGATGACACTGAGATTCTCAAACAGTAAGAGCAATGGCACACGAGGGCACACACCATCTTCTAGACAGCAGTTTTCTTGGGAATAAGGGGAGGAAACGGGATTGTTGGAAAAGCCCCCTCCAAGAGTTTACAGTATTTCCCACACGGCAGACTGTTCGCTGCCACCGAATTCAGGAAGTGCCGGTGCACACATTTGCTTTATTTTTCTCTGTGCGCCCTGCATACTTCAAATAATCTTTAATTAAGAGGCTTATAAAAGTGAACACCTCCCTTGTTTCAGTCAGGGTCTCTCTCTCCGTCGCCCAGGCTAGCCTGGGACTTTCAGTAACCCTGCCATGCTGGTGTCAAGAGTCACTTCCCTAGGAAACAGTAAGCTGAGATTGCAGCTGCGAGCCCCCAAGCCCAGATACAAAGAATGTTCCCATTGAGCTGCACACCTGACAGTGCTTAGGATGGCAAACTATGGTAGATGTAGTTTACTGTCATCTTTTTTAAGGGTAAGCAACTGTAAGGTTCCTTGTTTTTTTCACATTTAGAGGATGTATAAGAGTGTTAGGAAGAGTGAGCTGGTCATCTTCTCCAAACTGAAGGTTGGCTGGAGGTCGCCTTTCCTCATCTATTGGGAGACACGGGATGGACCTGGCTTCCAGGCGATCCTGGAGATGTACTTATTAGTTTCAGTGGAAGTGTGAGCTGGAACACTTGCAGATGCTCGCACGTGCCTTGGGAACCGCACTAGCCCTCCATGTCTCGACTGCATACAAACTGAGTTTGGCAGAACATTACCTGCCGCGTTTCTCCAAGTGACTGCGGTGCTTGGAAGGAGTTTCTCCTAATTGCAACGAATTTAATTGCATTGGATGGAAAGTCTTACATCACTAGGGCCACCTCTAGATGGGACATCTCAACACTAATTAGAACTGCCGAGCCCCGAAGCTTTTGCTTCAAGATCAATAAAAAGAAATACTATTTTATGTATCAGGGAAACTGCAAACAATGGAAATGCATAGACCCAAAAGGGATTTATGAAGAAACAAGAAGTCTGAGTCTTCCAAGTTAACATCATGGTGGATAAAGATATCCTATAAAATGATTCTGGTACAAATCTTAGGATATGAGCCTAGGACCACAGGTCTGAGCCAATGTGTTATGTCAAACTAGGCTCAGATCCCTGCTGATATGCAGGGCTTAGCTTTGCTCTTCTGACATTTAATGAAACAGGAAATGTAATGGATGATGTATATAAGCCAGCTGTCCTCCACGGTTGCAGAAGAGTAAATGACATATAATGCAGAGCAGATGTGGGCCAGAGGAACAGATGGCTCAACTTTAATTCACATTGCTAGAGCAGGTCAGCCATACCCGTCACTGCGCAGGCCGAGACCCCAGGGTATCTCTAGAGGGTCAAATGCTACAGAGGCCTGGTCACAAAACACCAGGGCAGGCTGGTTAAAACAGCTTAGAGTTTACCAGGGTTTTAGGGAAAAGTCCATCCTGTTGGGGAAATGATGGTTGCAGGTGCTTGAGCATCTGGTCCCAGGGCATTGACTGTCAGAAGGCACAGAGATAGATGTTAACACACAGCTCACATTCTCCTTTATTTAGTCCAGGACCTCAGCCCATGCCATGCTGACACCCACAGCCAACGTGGGTCCTTCCATCTCAATGACCCTCATCTACCCAATCCTGCACAGGCATGCTCTAAAGCTAATGTAGTCTAGATAATCTCCTCAGTGATGTGTCCAAAGGCTCGTCTCCTAGGTGATCTGAGTGATGTCAAGCTGACAACATTAACCACCACAACTGAGGTTCCCAGACTTCTATCGACAGCATCCCTTTACGTTACTGGTTAATTTCAATAGTGACTTTACTGACGTGGTGGCTTCCTTTTCTCCTGGGTCTAACGCATCCAGTAAATACAAATGTTCCTCAGTTTACTGTAGTGTGCTTGGAAAGTATATGCTAAAATGGGTTAACACCCCTAATCCACTGAGCATCCTATTCAGCAATCTGGGGCAGTGCACAGTGTAAACTGCTGCCCATCTTGGTCCCAGGGCTGAGCAGGATCTCCAGCTCACAGCTCTTGCTCTGCACTGTAAGTGCAAAGAATGGGATTGTAGAGGCACCTTGCCTTGCCGGTGGACTTGTAGTGGTGCCCACACCCTTTGAGCGTGGTTTCAGGTGCAGATATGACCCATTGTAAGGTAGAAGAGGGGCTGGCTCCAGCTCTCTTGGGTTAGGGAGAGAGCATCAGAGGAACACAGACTGCATCTTCTGGAGCAGGAAGACCGCCACGGTTATTTACTCGTATCTGTGTAAGTCCTTCCCTAATAAATACCTACTTATCATTTTTCTTGGGTCTGGTGCACTCATTTAAACACCGCCTTCATGGGATTCAAAATGTGAAGTATAGTTTCTATCATGTGTATTTCTTTCCCAGCATCAGAAAAGCAAGAAAATCCCAAGCTGGGGACCATTTATAATGTGTAATTTCCCCCCATCATTAACCATGGTTTTGGTATGTCTTTCAGTGATAGAAATGCATTAGCTACTGGTACCTTGGACACAGAGCATGGAAAGAAAACACATTTGAATTCAAGAACTGGAAAGGATACTCCCTCCATGATGAATAAGCTTAAGAATTTTTTTTTTATGTCAGACTGAAGGATAAAGAACATAAGCCTGGCTTAGCAGAGCAGCAGCAATGGATGCCCTGAAGTCTGTTCACAGGGTATAAAAATAAGCTCTCATAGTTAGCTTGGGAATTTCTGCCCCACATAATCACTTCAGAGAGACAGTTTCTGGAAACTGATAGATTGACTTATTCACTAACAAGCGTATTTCAGTAAGGAAAAACACCTCATGCTTCATAAAATGACTAACCCTTGGATGGGCAAAAAGACTCCCAGGTCGCCAGCATCTTGTTGTTTGGTTTTTTTTTTCATCCAGGGATAGTTATTGGCCTGCTGAAAGCTGTGCATTCCAACAAGAACAAAGTAGAGCCTACGGGTCCCTTCAGAAAGACCTTGGGACAGCATTCTTTTTGCACCAACTGACAGGCACATCTGGTCTGTAAACTGTCTGGTCAGAGTATGGAATTAGTCTTGGCTTTGGAAAGAACAAGACCAATTGTTCTTAGACTCCAGGAGCCCTAAGCACATGATCACAGCTTATTTGAGGCCTGTTGGTGACAATAGTAATCATATGATGATGGTGATGTTCTTCTAGTGTGTGTGTGTGTTGTGTGTGTGCGTGCGTGTGTGCATCTGTGTAGGAACTTACTGTCATACTCCTGTAACAGCTCCACCGCTGTCAAGAGAACTGCTCTGTGTTCTGGATCCCTGATGTTTAATTCATCCAAGTCTTCTTCCTCCAGGAGCTTGAAGGTATCCAGGTCTTCGTAGCCATTGAACAAGAAAGTGGGCATGTGTTCCTGTGAGGCAGAGCAAGCAGATCAAAGTGAGTCCACGGCCCAGCCATGTGATGCATGCCCTAAAACTAGCCTGAGACCCCTCAGACTTTTTCTCATAGTAATTTTTATGCTAATCAAGAGATGAGTATCATTTGTAATATACTGTGTGGCTCACAGTCTTCTGGCTTAGTAGGCAGATAGGAGTGTACTGGTTCACTCACTGATGGTTTAAGAAGATATCTGTGCACACTGTGGTGGATATCCCACTGGCAGTCATTGTCACTGTGCCCTAGATAGGCACTAACTCCTTCATCACCGGATTGCCCATGGCGAGAAGGCTCCTTTTACATTTGGAGGGCTTATTAAAATCCAACTTAGCAAAACCTATGAGCTTCTCAGGAGCAAGATATTTTATAAGTTGAAAACCAGAATCTACCACTGTGGGCATACTCTTCTAGAAGATGCTGGGAGTTATAGCAAGGGAGAGGTAAGAAGGTGGGTGTCTCATGGTCCCATGGAGGTGGCTATAAATAGAATACTGATACACAGCTTATACTCTGCTGTTAGCCTTAGTAGAGGTCAAGGGCAACATTAGACTATTGGTAACTACTCTTGTTAGAATACTCATAGAATTAATGAGTATGCTTGCAAGATGACACAGATCACCTGCCCAGTTTAGGAAGAAGAAAAGACAACAAGGACATGCATATGACAAGAGTAACAAGTGACTGACTTTCAGGTTGATCCGATCCAGGAGATCCTCCACAGACTTGGGCTGGGGTGGCCTTCCCTTCCTCTTCCTTCTGGCAGGACGCTTGGGCTTCTCCTCTTCCTCGTTTAGTACATCCACATAGATGAACTTGAATGTGCCGACTTTGTTGTTCAACAAACCCATCCAGGTACCCATGGGTGGCTTGCTTATTATATCAATGATATCTCCTTTCTGCAGCCCAGGGAACAAAGGTCTTTCCATTAGGCACACTTCTAAGCATGAGCAATGACATAACTCAGCTAGAAATGCTACAAAACAAGATTAGAATCCCTCGAGTCAGCTTCCTGTTTCAATGTTGTGTTTATGTGTATGGGCCATGCAGATATGTTGGCATGGGTATATGCACGTGTGCATGTGGTGACCAGAGGTAAATGTCCAGTTGTTTTCTCCATTGCACCCCATCTTATTTTTGAGGCAGGGACTCTCGCTGAATCTAGGTTTCACCAATTGGCTGAAATGACTGGCCAACGAGCTCCAGAAATTAGTCCGCCTGTCTCTATATCCACAGCCCTGGCTTTACAGGGGTACACAACCACACCCAGCTTTTACACAGATGCTGGGGATATGACCTTAGGTCCCGAGGCTTTGAGCAGCGAGCATGTTACTGACTGAGTGATCAAGACAGAACATGATTGGGAGCTTGGCAGAGGGCAGACAGAGGACTTCTAGCCATGCTCAATGCCGTGCTGACCCAAGGATACAATCTTCCCTGCTTCCTGTTCTGCAGGGTCAGGTGGGCCTTGGCTGTCACCCATGCTCTTGGTCAGGTTGCCTACCTTGGCTCTTGGGACGGCATCCTACTCCTGGAGAAAGGGCTATGCACCAGACACAAGAGGGTGTCCCCTAACCTGCAGCCACATTGTATACTATGTTGAACTGCATCTTTAGGTCCCCTATAAACTCTCGGTACACATACAGAACAGCTATTCCCTTCAGATAAAGGAAGCATAGAAGGAGGGGCATAAAAGTTCTAGAAGGAATCTGGGGTCAAAGGGTAGCACCAGGGAGGATGTGGTGGTAACAGAAAGCTTATGCACATCTTCCTCATCCTTGACCACTGCCTGATTCTATTTTATTCTCACTATACAGGAGACCAGTGGGGTTAACAGGGCAAAAACATGGTCTAGGCTGTATGGTCAGAGTTCCAGCATCCAATGTCAGAGAAGAGAGGAACCCGTCCCAGGAGACAAGACAGCCTAGGCTAGCTGCCCAAGACCAGGGACAAGCCTACCTTGAGCTTCAGAGAGTCTGTGTCATAAGGGCTGGGGGTGAAGTCAGTGTGCACACGGGCCCGCCCACAGAAGGGACCCCGGTAGGGTGGCTCCTCGTCATCCCCGTCTTCTGACTTGACGCTTTCCCTGTTGCTGGTGGAGGAGTCGGTGGTACTGACAGTCTGACCACCTGCACAGGAAGAACAGGGAGCACAGACATAAGCACAGCCTGCCCACGTATGAAAGATGAAAGGTACCAATAGTGCTGTGTATTAGAAGAGGCCCAGGAAAGGAAGCTATGAGCCACAGCCTTGCAAACGGACCACGACCGTTATCCTAAGCAAGTTCCTAAGTTGACAGGGGATTCCCATAACTTTATCCTCGTGACAGGACTCCTTGGGACATTGGCTCGCCAGAGAACCATGCTGCAATGGCAGGCCCTGGCTTTTGTCCATAACACTTTAGCATCCCCTTTGGATAGTATACCATTTCTCCCATGTATTACAGAGGAGAAAACAAACCCAAGAGAGGGCTTAAAGCTCTGGATTTACGCGTCGCCTCTTCCTCCACACTGTTCAGCCAACACCAGCCATCATCGGTCCTGGGACAGCTTTTAGTGATATTTGCTGCCAGGGACATTTAGAATTGCTTCCCTTGCTCAGATCCCTGCACTCTGTTCGTCAGATGCACTTTGGCCATCGGCTTATTGTCTAGAAGACCCTTCCTCGGAGATGCATTTCCTATGTTCACCAATCAGAACTTAAACATTCCTCTTTTGCTCCATGGCTGGACAGATATATAATACACCCTACGGGTAGGGGCTTGGCCTTGCTCATCTCCAACCTTCCTTAACTTGAGGCCCAAATGAATGCTGGCTGCAACTCCGGCAGGAAATCATGAAACACTGCGAATGGCACTTACTCATTGAGCTCTGGCCACTCAGAGAACTCCGCAGGCTTTCGACAGAGCCCCCAGCTTTGAGCTTGGGCTTGTCCACATGTTCCGAGTCAGGCTTTACTGAGGCAGGGGAGCCGGGCATTCCATCAAGCCCCGAGTCCTGAAATAGTTTCAATAGAACTGAGTTTCCCAGGTAGTCAGGCGATGTTTTATAATTCTAGGCAATTCGGTCCTCAGCTTTATCAGTCAAACCGATAACCAAGCCTACGCTTGGTCCTGTGTACAATATGCTCCATTAGAGCCTGTATCCTTGCTTGCATTGGAATCCTTAGCCTACAGTACTGTTTATTAAGTACTCCAAAGTTGTCTTTCAAGATCAAACAGATATTCTTAAAATTCCTGGGGAAAGCCCCATCTACCATATATTAAAAACAGCGGTTTAGGGACTCAGTGTATTCAATGGCCCAAGAACAAGCTGGGCCTTAAATGCAGATCAAGTTCAATCTACTCTAATATAACACTTAGAAGTACAATCAGAGGGCAGTTAATTAACTTTAGGTGGCTCTTAGGTGTTTAGGTTCTTAGAAACAACTGACCAGATTGTTTTTATGTAACACTGCTGAAAGTAATAATTGAATAAGATGCTGGTGTTTAGCCACCAGGGGGCAGCAACCAAGCAAAAATGCCTGCTGTCCCAGCTGGTTTTATTGGCAGGCTGGAGCATGCATTCCGTATGCATTTCAAGCAGGTATTTTAACAGGCTGAGAAATGCATACCATAAAGATGTCAGAGGGGGAGGTTTTGAAATCAAAGGTCAGAACTATCTCAAAGTGCAGGCCTCCAGGAGTTCTTCCTTCCACACGTGCAATTAAGACGGAAACTGGCCGTGTTTCTAATGATGGAAGGGCTTTCTACAGAATCAGGGGTGAGACATCAGTTCTGTGATGTCCTACTGATGACATGCAGCACCAGTAAGTGGGACGGCCTTCTACTCTCACCCCAAATAAAAACCTGCATGACTGTTGCAATCTAGTAGCCAGAAGAAGGTATTTTGTAAGATTTCCCCTTCTGATCTACTACATACTTCTAGTACAATTCATCTTACATCTGTAATTTTCAAAAGCAGAGTGTGTGTGAGAGAAAGATGCCTTGTGACAGAGCTGGGGTGGAGGGGATTTTATTGGGGGAAAGTGAATGGGAAAAGAGGGAGGGGAGAGGAGAGACTGCCCACTGGGGAAAGGAGGGGGAGAAAGAGAGAGGAAGAGGGAGAGGGAGAGGGAGAGGAAGAGGGAGAGAGAGATGAGAGGTGGGCAGGGCCCTTTTAAAGGGGAACATAGTGACTGTGCACAGGTGGTGCTCTTAGTGGCTGTAGCTGAGGGCATATCCTGTCAGAACCCCAAGAACAGGACAGTACACATGCCTGAATACTAACATCTGAAAACTCAGCTGGCCAAGAACACTTAAAGAAAAAAATTACTTATTATTTCTGGGACATGACTGTTTGCACTGTGTGCATATATGTATATATCCCACATGTGTGCCTGGTACCTGCAGAGGCCAGAACAGGGCACTGGATTCCCTGGAACTGGAGTTACAGACTGTTATGAGCCACCATGTGGGTGCTGGGAACCATACCCGAGTCCTTTGTAGGAGCAGCAATGGCTCTTAACCCCTGAGCCATCTCTCTAACTCCGCAGGGCACTTTTTAAGGAGCCGTCTAGATAATTAATGACAAGAGTATTTTAGAAAAGAATGCCCCGGTCCCCTCGTGCTTCAGTGTATTCACTAGGCTTACTCTACTGTGCTTTCTGCACTAAGGATCTTCTTTACATGGCCCTGTCTCCCTGAAATGGCTCTGAAATGGGAGGCCTGCTCTGAGGGTTTCATCTTGATTGTCAACTAGCTAGGGTTTAGGATCACCATGGAAACAAAGCCCCAGGATGTCTGAGATGGGTTTTCTAGATTAGACTAGTTCAGGTGGGAAGACCCACCCTAACTGTGGGTGTCGTTCCGTGGGCTGGGGTCCCGGACTGTCCAGAAAGGAAAGAGGGACCTGAGTAGCGGTATTCATCTCTCTGTCTCCTGCTGGTGGATACAAATGACCAGCTGACTCAAGCCACTACCTGCTGTATCTTGAAGTTGCGAGCTGAAATAAACTCTCTCTTCCTTAAGTTGCTTTGGTCTTGGCTTTTGATACAGCAACCAGAAAAGTCACTGATACACAAGACCTGTATTTTCTAGTCCCAGCATATACAACAGTCCTAACTGCTTAACAACTGTTTCTGTAGCTTTTTCTACGCAAATGCAGCCTGATTGAGCAACCAGTTAATTCCAACGAACGAACGAACGAACGAACACGAACGCACACACACACACACACACACACACACACACACACACACACACACACACACACACACACACCCCCACTCACAGCACCATTCAATAGCCCAAGTGGACCATCCTCAGCTGGAACCCGGGTCACGGCAAGATGGCCACACACCTGCTCAGTGACAGGGCTGCTGTACTTTTTAGACATCCTCTTCCTCATTGTCTCTTTCACCGATTTCACCTTTTTCCCGAGAGAGATGCGGGAGGCGGTGGGCGATTTGATTACCTCTTTGTACACAAAATCTCCCTCTTTACCCTGCAAAACAGAGTGCAAATACCATTAGTCCTAGGAGATAAAGGCTAGAAACCGGTTCCATTACTCAAACCATTAACGTCCTAGACCTCAGAGAAAATATTAGCATTCCCCGGGATCTTCACATTTTTCTTCTGTTAACTCGAGGCTGTTATTTATCTTTGCGACTAGAAATTAAAACCTACTGAGAGGTATTTTGTTTGTCTGTTTATACTGGGGCTTCAGGCACTTTTTATTTTATTTAATCTTAGTGCATGCTTTTCCAGTTATGTTTTTTTTTTCCCCTACCATTTAAAAACACTTGAGGGAACTGCATTTCATTAGTGCAGAGAGATTTAGGTAACCCCAGCAGTAGGGGAGAAGAGAGGGTCCCAGTATTGACTCACCCGAGGGCAGAAGATAGGTCTTGGGATGCATCAGACTGCGTATAACACTCAGTGTGGCATAGTTTCCTTCCCTGAACAAGCTAGACTGTGACCATCTCTCATTTTACTTTGCATTAAAAGACAAACCTTCCCAAGAAAGGATGGGTAGGGGGGAAGAGTTTTGTGTTTTTAGAGACTGACAACATAAAATTACTGGCTTATGAATCAATAAAATCTGATACCCAAATAAAACAGCTTAAATCTTGCAGGAAATCCTTTAACACTTCATATCTCATGGATGTGTAAGATCATAATAACTATAACGCATGAAATCTTCATTTTATACTTTCAAGGCAAAATATTTAAGGAAGGGGCAAACCAAGCCATGTAAATCTTACCTACTCCTTTGGGGCCAGAATTTTAGGTAACTTTTTTTTTTTTAACGAGACAGGGTTTCTCTGTATTGTTTTGGAGGCTATCGGTCCAGCCCAGCCTCGAACTCACAGGTATCTGCCTGCCTCTGCCTCCCGAGTGCTGGGATTAAAGGCGTGCGCCACCACTGCCCGGCAATTTTAGGTAACTTTAACAGAGTGGCCTGGCCCATGACCATGACCCACAGGCCCACCTGAGGAGACAGTAACCTGCGCAATCGGGGCCCTGATTTGCTTTGACGCTGAGAAAACTGGGCTTGTTTCGCAACTCGCATGAGAAAGACCTAACCTTAGGATGGGCCTTGGAGGTCCACACACTGATCCTACAGGACCGCTCACCGGATACCCACATCACAGGGCTCCGTCAGGTCATGCCCTTGTGTGCATCTGAGACTAACTAGTGTGAAGGGAAACTCACAGGCGCAGATGACTAAGGCCAAAGGAGCCAGACTCATCTGTGTGTGCTACTTAAAGAACACTGGAGAAAAGGCTAGAAGAAGAGAGATGATGTGTCCTCAGACTAACAAAAGGAACGGCGGTGCTCTGAGGAGATGGAGGCACAGGTACCATCATCCATCCCACGCCAAACAGCAGAGCTCCTTCAAGATGGGGGCTGCAGAGTTTCTCTGCAATTACAGTTTGGAGCCACTGAGCAAAGCTGGAGCCCGGTCTCCGAGACTCTAAAAAGGGACCTGTTGGCAGCCGGGTCACTGCAGTCCACACCAACTGCTTTTCTCTGTGGTCCACTCACCATGGGGTCAGAACTATTACTGCCAACATGCAGGGAACGGTTTGTCAGGTCGAATCCACCGAAACTGCACGTTCTCTGTGGAACAAGAGAGGGCGGGGTGGAAACAGATCCAGTTATGCTCACATCACAGCCCACAGACAATCCAACACACGAGCCCTGTGCAAAGCACCTCTGAGCCACAAATACACGTACAGGATGGGAGTGGGACAGGACGCGATGAGGGGGGAAACATGATTCCTGTCACAGGAGACCTTCCTGATTTGGTGTCCTCATGGCTCACCGGGAGGCTAAAATTAACATGCAAAACCAACGACTCAAGAACTAAATAAATAAAACCTTCATAAACTCAGTGAAGGAAGATTCCCTCCCTCACCGCTCCGTGGTCTTGGGAGTCCTGTGCTCTGCCAGGGACAATGGGCCTTTCAGAACGACTTTTGTCATTTAGTTTTAAAGGAGGGAAAAGAAGATATGTTTATAGTCTTCCAATCAGGCCAACAGGTTAGTCACATACTGTCCCCTCCTCCATCCTGGACAAAAATGATGGCAATTTCCCCAACTAACTGCTCGACTTAATTAATTATAACCCCCTTTCTTACAGTGGATGATACTACATTTATTGGGGGCGGGAAGACAGACTAAGTGTCTGTCCCTGATCACACGCTCCACTTTCAGTAGGAAAAATGCTGTTGCAAAAAAAAAAAAAATGGATAAAAGTTTATTGTGCTTTTAGTTGGTTTCAAGTTTTGTGAAACAATTTATATTTCTATGATTTTGTTTCCAGACTTGTGTCCAATTTCTCGTTTTTTTTTCTAGCAAAATAAAAAAATCATCAGATGCCCCAGATGCCCATGCCTGTCTCTTCTTGCCAAGGCACAATAATTTTTGTTGTAGGTCATGTTTTAAAAGAAGTTGGTGAGAACACTGGTATAGCAGATTTGGGTTCTAATGCTTTCTTTGTGTTACCTGCTACTCAGAGGTCATAATGATAGTCACAAAACGGAAGGGATAGACAGAAAAGCAGAGCAAACTGTGAACACTGCTTCTTTTAATCAGATATTGGATATATTAATGTATTGCATCAAGATGGGAGACACAGTCTGGGATGGAAATGAGTGGGCTTTTACCAATGCACATAAGTCCAACTTTCGATTCTGCTACTTGCTTACTGCATGACCACAACTGGAGTGCTAAAACTCTCTGAGTTTAGGATTCTGAACGGATAGGGATATCTACATTACAGACCCGAAGACCCTAGCACACTGTCGCTCATAGAGCAGACACTCTGGACATTTGTTTATTCTCTGATGTTCTGCTAAGAGGCTGGAAGCTCATCTTGATTATGTTGCAGGTTAGGCTTAGTCAAGATTAAAATGCAAATGAGAGGCGGGAACTCCATTCTGGGGTTCATAATCTGGGAGTTCAATTGTAAAACCCAAGCCTCCAGGAACAGACCACACAGGGAGGTGGCAGTCGTGGCACACAGAGGAGCAGAAATGAAGGGCATTTGGAGCCACCCATCTCTCAGCAACACTGTTGCTATTGCTCTCAGTAACCACTTTCAGGTGGAGGTTAGCTCGACTGTATACTATCAGCAGGTAACCTTGCTTTATAGTCAGCTACCTTTGTATCTCTCTAGTCCATAGAAAGACAAAGACTCCTCCATACACAACGGATCTCCAGCTCACCTAATTGGGAAGCAATATTATGACTACCGCCCCAAGGCAAATTTGTAGCATTAGCTTTCCCCAGTGGGTTATGGTGCCGAATGCATTTTCTCAGTTCTGCAAAGGCAAGGACTTTATTCTAGTTCCTTTCCTGTGACTCAGGGCTTCACAGGCATGGGATGGCGCCCAGATGCCTGAACACTTTATGACTTTTGCACGTCCCTGCTTTAAATGACAGCATGGCCTGCAACACTGGAGCCCAGCATGTTTTCTCTGATGCATATGAAACTACTCCCAAGGAATTTATGTGGAAACGATGACTGTAATAAATTAGAAGCTTATTTAGGTTTTCAAGTGCCTGCTGTATGCATTTATGCCTAAAATAAAGGGCTTAAAAGAATGGACTGGTTCTCAGACTCATCAGCTAAAAATCTCTCCAAGCAATGTGTTAAGATATCTGATGCAGCTCGTTCTCCATCAGTGGAGGGCTAACAAGCACTGAGCACTGCCGGGAGGAAGCTCTGACTTCTCGTGAGATCACCAGTTCTCAAACACTCCTTCAGGAGGGAAAACTGATTATAAAAGCAATGAAAGAAAGAGAAAACAATCTTTGAACTCTGGTGATCTACATAAATGAGGCACAAGCAAAATATTTTTAGCTCATTCATCTCTTGTACAGATAATTATAAAAACATTTTTTGAATGATGCTTGGGATGAGGAGAGTGAGTCAATGGTATGGGCATGCAGTTGAGAACATGTTCGGAGGGGGGGCTGAATTTGAAAAGGGACGAGGTTCCAAGATGTCATGCATGTCTGTTTTCCCAAACAAAACAATTGAATGAATAAAAATTAAAAGCAAGACACATGACTGTTTCCAGTGAATTCAAAGCGTTATCATTTCCCTGAGGTTGCGTCAAGCAAGTATGGCATCTCTAAGATCAAGGTTGAAGATTAAAGCAAACTGTGCACTTTGGGGGTAAAGTGAAGGAAGGGTATACAACAAAGAGAATGGAAAGGAGCATTGTAAGTGAAAGATACAAACAAATTAGAGGGTGTAAGACCAGTGACAGAGCACTTACTTAACATGCATGAGACTGTGGGTTAATGCCCCAGTACCCTAACAAAACCAAACAAACAAAAAAAAACACCCATCTCTTCCTACTGTCAAAACATTGACTTTATCCTATGTTTTCTGAATAATGAGAAAATTAGTTTTTTCTAATTATACAGTTTTAGTTACAAGAGCAGCTATGGACAGATTTCTAATTTAGCCCTGAATACATTACTTAGCAGGGTTTAAAAATGCCCAGTACTGTCGGCCTTAAGCTCTTAGCACATTAAAAGTATCCAGTGCCATCGTTAGTGAGTACCAGTGATGTTTGGAGGCAAGCTGGCAGATGAACTGGGCTCAACTCTGACACCAAGATCAGTGTGTTACAAAAGACAGGGAGGTCAGAGTACACCAGAGACTGAATGAATGAGTAACAAAGAAAATTCTGATATTAACAAAACAAAACAAAACAAAGAAAACCCAAAACATTGTTGCCATGATACAGAGAGAAACAGAAGGAAAGCTTTCCCAACAGACCAATAGCAGAAAAAGTGTTGTAAGGCTCACAAGAATGGGAAAAGACAGAAAATAAAATCTAGGACGGAAGTCAACACACATGGGAATATTTTCCAAACTCCAAAGCGAGGAAAGACCCAAAGGTTCTCTGAGAAGCAGAGCAGGGCATTTGAAGGATGGCAGTGGCCAATCCGTCTTCGCTTTCACAAAGGCAGAACTCGATTGCATGAATTTAAATTACAGTTATACAGTTCTGGACAAGAACATCCTATTCATGACCGTGGAGGAACCCTGGGAAAAGCGGCCGTGGAGGCCTATTCTTCTCTAAAGGTTCTTTCAGACCTCTCAAAGGGGCTCTGGGCCAGCAGCCCCGCGAGGATTAAGCAAGGTGCCAGCTCCCCCTCACTCTGCCCCCTTTTACATGGGCCATTGTGCAGGCTCCAAGTTAGGTGGGAATCCCAGGGGAGACTATCTATACTCTCAAGTTCAAACTAAGTCACTCTCTGAAAGGAAAAGTTGAACTAGGCTTTGCTGATCCTTCTTATGAAAACTGAAACACAAGAACATTTTATCGTATAAGCCATCATACAAGTAAGCACTTTACTTCCCTGCGTATCAGAATTTGTGCGACAGCTAAGGACATTACTACATGCTAATTCCTCTGTTTAAGAAAGGCAAAAGTACTGAATTAGCTTCATTTAAAAACAAAGGGGCTTTAACTGATTTTTTTTTTCTCTCTGAGATCTAAGAACTTTCTGGCTGGCTCTACTAATCCAAGAAATGCCTTCGATAACGGCGGTGGTGAACTTTCCACTGGTTCTTTCCTATTGTTTTCATGAACTGAAAAAGTAAGCAGCCCTCTCCGGGTCTAATGCCCTTCTGCTCCCAATCAGTTTCTTTCAGGTCAAGTGGCAAGATAACTGGGCACAAAGACAGCCACTCCTGAACCCTGCAAGAGTACCTTCCAGGTTTAGTTTCCGTTTAAAAGGTCAACCGGCTTGGGCTGGCCAGAGGGCGGGCGGAAACAAGGGGAGAAGCCCTACTAAAGAAAGGACTAGAGGTCGGAGGTGGCAGTGGAATGGACCCCGGAAGAGATGAGTCGAAGACAGGAAGACAGCTTTGTGAGAAGAGAGGCCATAATGCTTGACTGCACATCACAGAAATGACAAGGCCTTCCTCACGGCCATCCTGGCGACTCACGGACTTCTGGTGGATTCTCAAGAGAACCCTTTTTGTACAGCGGTCCACCGTGGCAGCCCACTTCCTCTTTGCCTCCTCATCCTCCTCCAGCAAGCACCGCCTCAGGTCCTGCTTCTCAGCCTTGCTCAGCGTCCTGTCTGAGGCAGGACGCACGAGCTGGGTCAGGTTCAGGTGGCTGTAGAGACTCCGCTCCACCACGTAGGTGATATTGAACTCGCTGACCGAGGTGCGCCCTCTGCCCCTCCTGCCAGGGAAGCCGCAGCCGCCGCCCCCCTTGGGCTTCTGCCGGGGCAGCAGGTCACAGGTGGTGCCATTTACTCCTTTTCTGGAGGGACGTTGGCAGAGAAAAGTTCTGGAACACGAGTAGTTAGTATCCGTTTTCTTCAAGCGGATTTGCTTACGGACACTCTGAACCTCCTCCAGGGACACCAGAAAGTGGTGCCTACGCCGATGGTTGTCATAGAAGAAAACGCCATCGGTACTTACCCCATGACTCAAGGACCCAAGGCCTTTCTTCATTTCCCCCTCCGTGAGGGAGCGGGACACTTTCTGCGCCTTTTCTTCTTCTGGATAAGAGAAGAATGTCCCCATCTTCTTAGGGGGCTTAATCAGGCCCCGGCTCTCTCCTTTGCTGAAGGTTTTGACCAACTTCCGGCCAGCTCCCCAAGTATCCAGGCTGCTAGATGATGGAGATGGGGTGAGAGAATCCGAATCGTCTTCAGGAGGTTTCTCCGGGGCGCCATCATAGAAAAATGGCTTTTTGTGCACTCCAGAGTAGAGTGCGGATCTTTCATCCAGGACCGGGGAATTCTCAAACACATGCTCCTCTCCACCTGGAAGGGAATCAACACGGGGTCTCTTGTGAATGAGTGGCCCAAAGACCTTTGCCTATCCCTGTAAATCACAAGTTAGCTCACACCGTTGGTTAATGGGAACATTCCTCCTGCCAGAACTATGATTTTCTTCACAAACATGACTCATGTCAATGCACAAGGAACAAAGAAGGCAATCCAACTGCATGGTACGGTTTCAAGGGAGCACAGCGTTAAACATTTGTGAGGTGCTGGATCTGGCGGGACAGGCCAGTAATCCCAGCTACTGTGGAGACGGAGGATGGCAAGTTCAAGATCAGCCCCATCAACTTAATGGAGACTCCAAATAAACGCTTGCTGGTGTTACTGTTCCTGATTGTCAGTCCTCCTGGAGACAGAAGGATCAGGACTGGAATGCCATCCCTTGCTAAATACAGAGTTCAAGGCCAGCCTGAGCTACATGAGACCCTGACTCCAGAAAGCAAACCACAACAAAACAGAGATGGGGACTATAGCTCAAATGTAGCGAGGGGCTTGTCCAGATTTAGCATGTGTGAAGCTTCACATTCAAACCCGGTTTGTGGATCAACATCTTCCTTGACCTATTAGAAATGCCATTTACAAAATCCAGGCTCGTCATTACCGTGATATATGCTAGCACCTCAAGATAATTGCCACCCGGGTTTGTAAGTGCAATCCCCAGAAGCTAGGCTCGGTCGTCCCCATCCCGAAAGGCCCTTTATGTCGGCTCTAGTGGCTTTTATACTTAGAGTGTGATGAATGCCATGTGGCAGACAATGATTTTTTTTTATTGGTACATATGCCATTTAAGTGATTAAATCTCCAAGAGAGTTTGGGTGGGGAAAACATCATAAAGGGTTATACTCGCAAATGTGATTGACAAATGGTCTCCAGTCTACCGGCCAAATACAAAAAGCCAAGGAACTGAGTGATCCCAGCCAGACAGTCCCATCCACCCAGCCCCGGAGGAAACAGCAAGGGCATTTAAGGGCCTTGACACGCAAGCAGCTCACTGAGTGTTCCACTTGGGCTCAGGCTTCCAGGCCTTGAAGCTCTCTCTGGGGCCAGGTAGCGAGCCAAGCCCTCTGAAGGAGGCCAGTGGAAAGGCCTGGACGTGCTGGCGGGAGAGCCAAGTTCTTTTCTGCATGTGTTATGTGAACAGATGTGAGGGAGGAAGTAGGTCAAGCTGTGGGTGTAGTGATCCCAACGGGCTGCACCCCTTAATTATACGGAAACATTGGAGCCTTGCAGCTCTCCAGCAGCTGAACAGCAGAGAGGGGGAAACATACAAAGTTCCCTGGGACAGGAGGAGAGCACTATACATTCCAGCTGCGACAAAGGTGCCAACGAGTGGTCAAGTGTCAGGGAGAAAGAGAGAGGGAAGGCGGTAAAAACGGCACCTGCTTCTGGAAGACTCTAAAAGTGGCTACCCCTTTCTAACTGGATGGGTGGTTGTTGCAGAAGAATTCTGCTGGGAAATCCCACTTAAGAGCAAACTCCAGTTTGTGTGCAGTGAGTGGCAGATACGGAAGGACAGGTGAAGAGGGAAAAATCCATACAATGCCCAAACCCAGAAATGTTTGTTTCAGGACCTTTGGGGAGAGTTTAAGGCAAGGTCCAGGCTCAGACTGGATTTAGTCAAACCACAGACAATACACAAACATGAGGGCTGCTTCCTGATTTCTCCTCCAGATGCCTACCAGGTAAGGAGACACTTATGTTTCCCCCAAGTAAATACAGTTACTTCTAAAGATTGTGCCATGTTCCCAGGAAGAAGCAACTGGGCTAAGACTGGAGGCCAGCTTGGCGGCAGAGGTAGGCCTGCAGCAAATGAACAAGGCCATGTCACCTCCTCCAGGTAGCACAGATCCGTGAAAAGTCTAAGCAACGCAGTCCCAAAGTGCTCCATGGGGGCCTGGTGGGCTTTGCCCAGTGCTCTAAGGACCTGCTGCCACTCATTGGCAGTCCAAACATCTTCTGGAGTGTTTTTAGGGTGCTCATCAGCAGCTTAAACACCCCTGTCACAATCGGGCCTGGCCCTGTCGGGGACGCACATGTTTGTGACATGTGCAGCCTTAGGCTGGTAAAGCAGCTCCCGGTAAGGAACTTTGAGCGGAACAGGGAAATGCCTCCGAAGAGGCTGTGTCAGCCTTTGTGAGCAGGCCTGTGCAGGCGGGCTTTACTGTCCGCGTCTGAGAGGCAGCCCAGAAGCGCAGCCTCGGCTCCCTGAATGCACCATGCTTCTCCTACCATGATCAACGGGAACAGCTTCGCTATCGCAGGAGCAGAGAGCCAGGTGAGCGCTGCCCCTGCACACTGCGCAGCCTGCTTCACAACGCCCTTTAGCGTACTGCAGCTGAGACGGAAACACCCAGGAAACGGGCTTCTGAGAGGAGGGTGTGGGACCACTTAGCGCAAAGATACAGCCCTGCACACGCCATAGTTCAGGGACCTCGGGTATGTGTCTCTCTCTGAGCCTCCTCTACCACAGCATAATAGCCCATATGGTTACTGTAAGCATGAAGTCATCACAGGGACACAGGAAGCTTCCTCAGTGGCTAAAGGCACCACACAGAAGCTGATGGTTCTCTATTGGCTTAGCAGTACTCGTGCACTCTGGGGAGGGGTGAGGCACAGGACAACACACAGGAGTGGGCAGGGTTTAGTGCTATCCAGGGCTGCTGTGCCAGGGTATACCTGGGAGATCAATGCAGCGGGCGAGGACCAGGTGAGGGGCTGGAAAGTCGCTAGTTCTCGGGAGCTGTAGGATGTCCAGGGGGGCAGGGTATGTTGAGGAGGTCTGGCTGGCTGGTTGGCAGGCTGCGTGACCTTGAGGAAAGTTCCCCGGGTTCTTTATCTCAGTCTCCTTACTGGCGAAATGAGTAAGTGCCTGTCTCTGATGTGTATCCCAGGGATGGCATATTAAAAGGCAACATCAATTCTCAATGCGTGGGAAAGTGACTCTATGCAGAACGCATCCCAATACAGGATTATTTGCCTTAGTGCTGGCACAGGTGTGCAGGCAATCAGTGACTCAATTCTATCTCTGTAAGTCCAAGGGCACTGGGGAAGAGAAGTATCTCACAAAGTAGCCTATCCCACCTCCTGGCTCTCCCGCCAATAAGAACCTCAGAGAGCCTGGAAACATGGGGGACAGGAGGCAGACCCTCTAAGACCTCTCTCTCTGTCTCTCTCTGTCTCTCTCTGTCTCTCTCTGTCTCTCTCTCTCTCTCTCTCTCTCTCTCTCTCTCTCTCTCTCTCTCTCTCTCTCTCTCTCTCTCTCTCTCTCTCTCTCTCTCTCTCTCTCTCTCTCTCTCTCTCTCTCTCTCTCTCTCTCTCTCTCTCTCTCTCTCTCTCTCTCTCTCTCTCTCTCTCTCTCTCTCTCTCTCTCTCTCTCTCTCTCTCTCTCTCTCTCTCTCTCTCTCTCTCTCTCTCTCTCTCTCTCTCTCTCTCTCTCTCTCTCTCTCTCTCTCTCTCTCTCTCTCTCTCTCTCTCTCTCTCTCTCTCTCTCTCTCTCTCTCTCTCTCTCTCCCAGCTCATCCATCACCCACCAGAGCAAGGCTTGTAGTGAGTTCATTCAGCCTGCCTTCATCTGTGAGGCCCAGGCACACTCAGATGACTTCATAAGTAGAAGCGCATAAGGCGATCGCTTTGGACCCCAATTGTCTCTTTTGGTATTTTGCCATTCCCCCACCCCTAGACATAGCTGAATTGATATCCTCTGCAAATTTGTATGTTTTCAAGATGTATAAGATACTACTGTGGCATAAAGGCTGCCACAGGACAAGTCCTGCTGGATAAACTGGCCTCCATACTTATCCACTGATGGATAAGCCCCGTAGCTGAGATCTGATTTTGGCACCTGCGTGAGGTCTGCTTGACAAGGTACACTCGGTGAGTGAATGCATGGTTCTCTAGAAAAGTACAACTTTTTTCCCATGTTCATATTTCAGTAAGACCTGCCATTGAGTGAGGAAAACTTATATATTCAGCACAGAGAAAACACTGGCCAGACAGGTATTAAAACATCCAAATAGAAACCGACGTTATATTCAAATAGAAACAGAATTACTACATCAACGGACATTCACATGCAACCTCAGAACTAAAGGTAAGTCCACATTTATGAAGTTATCCATCAAGCTTATTTATCTTGCCAACTTTCCCCTCCCCCCATTCTTTTGCAGCTACCAGAATCTTCAATTTTATCCTAAAGAATTAAAACAAACAACAAACAGAATTAGAAAGTATCAATAATAACAAGAAACCCCTATCTTTGAAGTAAGAAAAAATTCAGTTCCCTGTGTATAATTTGGCTTTATTTACAAAGGTCAAAAAGGGCTCTATATTTTCTTATTAAAGCAGCCCAGTATTTCCCCAATTTAATCACTATGGTCTTATAAACAAGAAAATTTAATAGCTGGGTGGGGTAAGACAGAGTGTCACTATGTCACCCACAGTGCTCCCTCTCTGGCTCAGGATTGCTGGGGTTATAGGCCTTTTGCTGTAACCACAGTCAGGAATATTGAGCTTTTATCTGATTTTTTTTTTTTAGGTAGAGTTCTATATTTATGCATACAACTAAAAGTGAAAATAAATAAGATCCTAATTTAAACAATCATAATCGTAATTCAAAGGTAACTTCATTCTGATGATCCCCAGTTGATATGTTGACATTATTGTTTCATCTTCCCAGCCAGCTCTTAAGGATCCCCTTCCAATTGAAGGTCCTCAATGCCCCTTTTGAATAGCAACTCGAGATTGTTTCCTGGAAGAACAAAGCAGCCCTGAGGCTTTGAAGGGATATTAAGAGCCTTGATTGCCCGGTAGCTTTGCAAGATGGATGCATGGTGTATCAGATTTGCATGAGAACTCCACTGCATTACAGACTCTGGTCCTCTATGGAAGAGAGGCTTATGCTGAGAACATATTGGTTATATATGGCAACGTAAGCTCATAATTAAAGCTGTACCACACCTTCAGATTTTATTGTCAGACCCTAGCCATTTCCCATCTCTGTCACAAGGAATTACTAAGTGCCCAAAATACCTGACACCAGGACCCTTCATTCCAGAACATTGAGCATTGCCCTGCTGGCACAGAGACAACTGTCAGACTCAGGCAGAACACAATTCATTTCCTACTTGAAATCCTATTCTGTTTCTACTGAAAATGTGACCCCAAGTAGTTTCTTTTAAAAGAACTGCCCCCACCCCTGTTTTGTTTTTTACCTTCAGTGTTGGGCTTTTTCATTTCTTCCACCCTAATTAGTTTCTTTCTGACTCTTCGAGTGGAGTTTACCAGCTTGTGTAACCTCTTAAACTTCACCGACTCCTCCGTCTCATCATCCGATTGTTCTCTTGACTGGCAAAGAAACACAGGGACAGTTAATCAGTTAATTGCTCCAGAACGGTGCCCTCCCTCCCTGCTGGCATAGCTGGCGTCTCAGCCAAGGCCAAATACCCACAGCTCCACAGCCAAACTTGGGCCATCAACAAATCTACCCAACAGGGTTACAAAAACCCCACATACACTGAGACGGCCTAAATCAGCAGAGAGCCTGTCCTAGGGACAAAGTACACATTCTTGGCATTGACGACCATGTGGGTGTCTGTCCCATCACACCGCTCACTCCCTGTGTCTTTCAAGCCAAGTCCAGCAGGACTTTCTCCTCAAGCTAGCCATGCAATTCCAGTTACGCTGCTGTGGTTTGGGCCAGGCTCTCCTCTGTCTGGCCCATTGGGACTTGCTGTTGAGCGTGGTCATCAACCACTTCTCCAAACCAAAATCTTGTTGACTTTTTCCAGCACCTACCCTCCCCCTTAAAAAAAAAATTAAAACCAGAAGGCAGAAAAGGGGGAAGTAATGAAAAAAAGAGAGAAAAAGAAAGGGAAAAAAAGCCCTTTTTTCCTATTTGTTAGAAATGCCTGCCACATCACACAGCCATCCCCTTCCACCTCCCCAACTCCTTCTGAGGCTCACGAGGCAAGGCTGAGGACAGCCCCACATTCCACCAAAGAGACGAGGGAAAAAGATGACCTTTACAGCCATACAGTACAGTCCATATTCCCCAGAATCCCATTCCATTTTACAGCGATTCAAGTACGCAGCACTGGCCCAGCTGTTTTCCCTCAAGTATCAAACATTACAAGGGGGGGATTCTCTCTCCATAGCAGTGATCCAGGCTAAAAACAACCCTTTCCTTGTGAACAGAATGAGGGCTTCATTTCCAAGTCCATTCCAACATTCCGTATGCAGCTTCCTCTACTGTGAAAAAGCAAAGGAAGTTTCCCACTGACCCACTGGAGCCGAGTGTGGCCGGCTGCACCACCCGGCCGGGTGCTGGGGCCTTTTGGAAGCACCCCAGCCTCGGCATACTCTGCAGGCAGTGAGTGGGTCCAGTTCATCGTGTACATCTTGACAACAGCATCCCTTCATGTCCTCAGTGCAATTCTTAGGGGGGAGCGATGACTCAACCCCACCCCCACCCCACCCCCCCAACAAAACAAAACAAACCAGTTAGGGGACTTTCCCCAAGGAAAGCTCTCCCTAATCTCAATTTTATAGGCCCCAAAATGGGTAAATAAGTGTTGGCAGAAAGGAAATGGTGCATGCTGGGAGTGCACAGATATTTTTCTCCACATGGTAATACTCTCTCCTGGATAAGCCTGATTCATTTTCTGCCACCTCCTGGCCTTGGAGATGACAGCATGGAGCCACTGTACTTTATTCCTGTCAACCATCTTTGAACAATTCACTCACTGATGATTAATTAGCACAGATTCAGCAAACCATCAGACTGGAATATTCCTCGGTTGTCCTGCCTGTGAAGTGCGTGTGCATCTATGTCCAACTTCCCTAAAATTCCTAGGAAAACACTGCCTGAAAAATTCACAATTAAGTTGCCCTCTGTGGAGCTGGAGAGATGGCTTAGCAGTTAAGAGCATCACAGGCTGCTCTGCCGGAGGACCTGGGTTCAATTCCCGGCAACCACATGGAGTTCATGACAGTCTGTAACTCCAGTACCAGGGGATCCGGCATCCACATAAATGCAGGCAAAACACAAATGCGCATAAAATGTAAATAAACAAATCTTTTAAAAAATTGCCCACTATCTACTTGTCAGACTAGAAGGAAAAGGGCAGTTATGTTGAACAATTAGGGATAATGCACTTAGTTCAAAGGTTCAAGGTTTAAAAAAAAAGTTAAAATAGGAAGTTTAGCTCCAAATACAAAATGATACACATCTGGTTTAAATTTCATTTCTACTTTGTTGAACTGTTGACGTGTAATGAAATGAAATGGTCAGAGTGGCCAACCAGAGGCATGAGAACTTGGTTACCCTCATTCTGGGCCGTGAACACCTCAGTAACCCACAGGGCACTGAATTCATGCAAGTGTTTCAAAACATTGCATCCTCTCATTGCAATTCACGTGCCAGCAGCAATGCAAACGTTAGAATTAACTTGATATTACACAAGGCCTCTGTACACTCAAACAGTAACAAAAACAAACAACAAACAAAACCAGGCTAGGCATCTATCCCTGACATTATAAATTCCAGAGTCAAGGCAAGGTTGAAATAATCACCAACTGCTTATACTTAAGAGACAGGAAGCTAGATTGTGAGATTAAACCCAGCGATGTAAACACACTCCAGAGCTAGTCTGTTGGTAGTGTCTGCTGGTGGCTTGTGTACTGGGGAGGGAGGGGCTTAGGAGTGCGCAGAAAGGAATGGAATCCAGAAGTCAATAACACAAAACTCTTCTACAGAGACACAAGGTGTGCATAGATAGGAAAGGGTACTTTTGCATGAAATTTCCGGGAAGAAATAAAAACAGTCACACCAGGATGTGAGACTGAAAGCCAACATTCTCTTCCAGAGCCTTCCTCTCCTGGGCCTGCATTCACTGTGGTGAAGAATGACATAGTCCAGGTACTTCCTTAATCTCTTTCACATGTTCTACCTCCTTTCTGAGGAACGTGAACTCTGGAGAACTTTAAACTGATGGTATTCCTTTTCTAAGTCAGTGGAGGTTCCGGAGACATCTGCCACTGACAGCTCTCAACCATGGACTTCCTCTGTTGTGTCATGCTTTGGACCCCAGGCAGGTTGACACAGCAAGTCACTGGAGAAGTGTATACTTATGCATGTTATCTTTAATTAGAAGATTCCTCTACAGTCAGCCTGAGTAGTCTTCAAGACAGTTTTTATTGATGGGGAGGGTCAACTTCTGGATTCCTCTGGAGTCCCAGGGAAGAGACTTGTGATACAATAGTCTAGCTGTTGTATAAAGACACAAGAGACTGAATTTCTTCTAAATTGAGTAATAAATTCTTCACTGTATATTTCTCTTTCAAATAACCATGTGTTACTTTCTAAACACAAGCCACATAGCATGGTTTTAACATATATATGTATATTATGTATGTATATACAATGTGCCTTTTATTCATGAAATTGACTATCATAAAAGGGAGATGAGAATCTTTTAAATTAAGAATCATTAAAAATATGTGCATGTAATTTTTAAAATAAGTATTTTTTAGACAGAGTCTTGATGAGTGGAAAATGAATATTGTGTTTGGGAAAAAAAAAACCTTCCTACCCAAGGGGTTTGTACACTAAAGGATTTCTACTTTGTATATAAATGATTCTAATAAACAGACTCATAACCAACACAGATCCACATAAACCAAAACAAAAACCTAAAAGCATATGTTCGCACATACTCAAAACATTTTCCCATCTCTATACCCCTGCACCTCTTTGTTAGTTTACTAAAGATCCCTAAAGTAAACATTAGTTTGATCATCTTATAGACAAGAGGGTGAAGTCCATTAGCTTTAGCTGCCCCATCCCAAGCCATCGGGGGCGGGGGGGGGGGGGTGGACCTCATGATCCCACCAAAAGATGTGCAAAATGCCTTTGCAGTACTGTAAACAGAAACATTGCATTTCCAAGCTTTCTGCTGCAGATTTTTTTCCACCAGAAAACCCATATGGCTCAACTTTTAATTACTTTGGCTAATGCTATATGTAGTAATTCTGTGGTGAATGCTTAAGTGTTTCATTTCTGGTTTCCATGGCAACATTACATCAGATTGCAGACAGCTGGCTCCACAGTTTTAAACCATAACAAATTGACCAAGCCAAGGCACAAAGCTATAGCTGCTTTAAAGAGATAGCGCACCCTTCGCCTGCTAGGCACTGAGTAAAGCATCTATGGGGCCATTTGGCATGGACACGAGGGCGGAGCCTCCTTTCTCCCCAGCTTCTCTTGGAACAAGTGCATCCTTTGACACATCTGTGATGCTCTAATGGGAAAAGCCATGGAGCCAGCGTGGAGAACTTTTTATAACACAACTACACGCAAGATGATCAGAAGGGAGGGGGGCAAATTAAACACATCTGTAAATGAAAAGATCTGTGTGCTGGCATGTTCCAAAAGCCTTCCTCTTACCGCTCATCCTAAGCCCGTCAGCGCTGCCTGAAGCAGATACTTCACCGGACCTTATAACAAACAAATCTTACATCTGTCTGTGATGTACAGAATAAGCGGGTTTCCAAAAACTTTAGTGGCACGGTAGCAACGAATGTGCTGGAATAAATGTTAATCCATGCTTGCAAGGAACAAACAGATCCCTTAGGGAGAAGCATAGCAGACCATCCTGAGCACACATTACCGCTTGCCTCCCCAGCTCCAAACCCGAGACATACTATCACAGTGAGCAATCAGAAAAACCAGACTCTGTCTCTTTATCTCCCCCGGAGCTATACACCATCATACAATAAATACAGAAGCATTTGTGAGAAGTATTTCTCAATTGCAAATGTACTTGCATGGGGGAGTCACACAAGAGTTTTGTTTGAGCTCAGTCCATAAGAAGACATACACACTTCCACTTCCCACAGCCAAGCTGTCACTGCAATGATTCTAAAAGTTATGAGAAGAAAGCCAACTAATCGTAGACTTCTTGAAAACAATGCCGAATGCTGTCTGGATTTAAGCCCTTCACACAGAGTCAGCCCAAGTCGCAAAGTGGCTCCAGCCCGTGTCTGCTCATTCTTTCTCATTCTCAAAATAATATTTGGTATTCTCCAAGAGTCATGTATGGTAACTGGATAAGCCCACTGGGCAAGAAGGCAGAGAAGTAGCTAGGGGGAAATGGACAGAGCCAGAGAAACTTGGGAAGCCACGAAAGTTGCACCCAAGCAGGAGCGAGCAGAAAGCCTTTTTCTTGAAGCAACAGAAAAGTTTTCTTTTCGCACAACAAAAGCATTCATCCACTTACCGGCCTCGGCATTTAGCAGGCGTAAGGGGCAGTTTTGCAAAGGTGCGGTAGGTACCCTTTCCACCTCCC